AATTTATGGCTAAGAAGATGATAATACAATGATGGTAGGGAAAGAATTCACCATTTAGTGGTTTGGGAACCAATGAGTGTAGTTAGATCCACTCCTTACACCATTTACATGAATGAATTCTGATTGGATTAAAATTTGATGTCTAAAACAAAAACAGAACTAGTTTAGAAGAATTTATTTCCTAGTTTTGGGGCAGTTTCTATCTATCCAAGCCAGACACAAAACTGAGAAAGATTGGAGCGGGGGAGAGATAGGGAAAATATTTGACTAAATATTGACTTTGAAAATTGGAGCTGAATAAGAAGCAGGGAACTTTTCAGGCCATATGTACATACTTCCTGTACACACACATATTTTAAAGGAATGTGTTCAGGTACTATGTACGTAATTTACAAAGCAACATAAACACTTTTTGAAAAGGTAATAAGGGATTTAAGAATTGTGCTTCATAAGGAAGATTAATAAATCTTTAGCCTGATGTCTCAATAACTTAAATAACACCATGACTTCCAAGGGGTCCACAAAGGCTTAAATACCAAAAAAGTGCTTTGCTGCCACCTTAGGACCTTTGCACTTTCTGTAACCTCTGCCATTTCCCCCTTCCTGTAAGGTCAGGCAGCGGTGACCAAAAGGAGGCAGATTTAAAAAGGCTGCTGAAGGATGCTTTATTGAGATTTCACTCCCGGGAGAAACTCTCAGACCGGGAGAGCAAGAAGAGGGGCTGAGGAGAAACCGCGTGGAGGCTCGACCAGACTGGAATTTTATGGGACTTAGGGCAGGGAGGGGGGCTTGGGACTGGGAAAGGGGTTTTTAGAGTCCCTTGTCCTACTGGGGTTGGTGGTGGGGAGCTGGCTAAGATCCAGGATTGGCCAGGATTGGCTGATTGACAGGCGATTCCATCGTTGCCTGATTGCTGGTTCTATAATGCACGGGCTGCACAGTCTGCTTGTGCTTTGTTCCTAAGTCACATTCATCGACCTAACATTTCCTAATGCTTAGCTCCCTCTCTTCATGGTTTTGCCTGAATGTCACCCTTTAGGAAGATTTACATTCACTACTTTATTTAAAATTATAAGCCCCCATTTCTTTGGTCTGTTTTACTCTTTGTCTTAGTTCTTATTTGACATACTTTTGTGTTATTTCTATCTCTAGCTTCCTAGAAAGTAGACTCCATGAGGGCAAGGTATGTCCATTTTGTTCACTGCAGAATCCCTAGATCCAGAAGAGTATGGGGAATTTAGCCGTGTCACCGATTAGGGGTTCAGATGTCTCCAAGAGCCGAGGAGACCTCTATTAGAAACTTCCAGATTCTTGACCACATTGCAGAAAAGAATTTAAGGACACAGCAGGTTTCAGGCAGGGAGGAAAAGCTTGATTGCAAAGTGAAAGTACACACCCCAGGGCTGAATGCTGAATGCAGGGGCCAGATGGATGGGTTCCCTATCTATAATGTTCTGGGGGATGAATATTCATATACAAGGGTTAAATATGAATGAGATTCTCTGGAATTGGGAGGTCCCTTTGGAGAACTCTGCTCAGCTTCATTAGCATCTAATTATGCAGCTAATGGTTGTGTACATACATATGGTAATCAGTCTTAAAGATTAAAAGAGGTGAAGGTGAGGAAGTCTTCTGGTGGACAAGGACAGGAAACCAGTCTGAAGTTAGCTTAATAGTGTCATCTCCTTGTGGCTGGGTAAGATGTTATTTTAGTCAATCTGATCTTAGCAGGATTTTAGTGGTTAGGCAGGGGTGGCTCACAAGTTGTTTGCACAATGCTACCAGGATATCTGTGGTTAAGTAGGAGCAGCTCATAAACTGTCTTCGTGAGCTGCCTGCTTACATTTATTTCTTCTGTTCCTTACCCCAATTAATGTGTGTTGCACGAGGACATGGTGTTTGGAGCTCTGTGGCCCAGGGAGCTCCGAGATTTCATTAATATAGAAAATGGAATCTCAGACTCCTAAGTGGTGACTCAAGGGTTGCTTTAAGGGGAGCTTCTGGTTCTGGGATCCAAGTAAGTAAGCACACTACAGCAGTGATGCATAGAAGCAGAACTGGGGATGTTTCTCATCCTCTGCATGAGGATGCCCTGGTCTTTACCACCTCAGTTGTTTGGGAGATGGGGTGAAGAATGCGGAGCAGTTAGATGGTTCTTCTTGTAACAGTGGTCCACTTTATGCTTTGGATATAATCCTTGCTGTTCTGCTACTGCAACTTATTTTTAAAATGAACCTGTGTTTTTCTCTTCCTCTCTCCCTGCTTCTACCTAATCTCTCCCCCTTCCTACCTCAGGGGAAACAGGATTACCTTTCTCATTCCTTGAGTACACATCCATCATAGGAATGAAGTAATCCAGACTTTGGGGATGGTACCAGAAGATCTCTGAAATGACTGTCTCCAAAATTAACAATTGAATTACAACTCCAACAGAAAACACGTGGAACGTAGCCTTTGAGTCACCTCTTTAAAACCCCCATGTTCCTGCAGATGGGCAGAATCATAGCCCTGTGTTTCTCTTTTGCTAATAAACCAATAAACCTTCTTTTTTCTTTTTCTCAAAACCATGTTCTCCTTATTGGATTGGCAATGGGGACAAGGACTGAGCTTTCAGCAACATTCAGAGCTGCTTGTTTGTGGGGTGGAGGTGGAGAGACAAGGAAGGCAAATGAGTCCTAGATCTGTACTAGGGGCAGAGGCCCATAATAGGCGCTGAGGATGCAGTCAGCTTGAGGGGCCAGTCCAGAAGGATCAGCTTCCAAGTACCCAACCAGATCCCTTGTGTTTAGGCAGTTGCATGCTTATTTATTTATTCAGAGATGGGGTCTCCCCATGTTGCCCAGGCTGGTCTTATTGATACCACCGGTTACCGGTGACAAGTTCTGCTTCCTCACACGTCGAAGCATAATATTAGAGAGGAAGCATATAAAGCAGGGTTTATTTAAAAAGGGGTAACATAGACTTCTCCTGGGAGGGAGAAGAAGGCCATAAGTTGGTATCCTGGTACCCCAAGAAGTGAGAGCATTCTGACTTTTTTATATGTCCTAGGCTTCCTTTGTTCTCCTCTCTTCCCTTTATCTCTCTCCTTCCTGCATGTGTGAGTAGGCCCTGGAGATACCCAGGAGATGCTCAGTGGGATGGCCAAAAGGAGAGAAGCTGATGGGTCCGAGGGCCAAGTTGGAGTGATCAGGGCAGGAAGGGGGCACAATTAACAACTCCCTTAGGAAGGGACAATCCCTGGGACAGGTTACCTTAGCAACAGGTTGGAGCTGAGGCAGGTTATCTTGATAAGGGTGGAGGAAGGGCTCTGAAGGCATTAACATTTCAATCTCTCCTTTCTTTGGATAGGACCCTTGCCTATCTACCTGTCTAATTCTGGCTTCATTATCATGGGAGAAGAGCTGTCTCCCAAGAAGGGTCTGAGGAGTTTCCAAAGGAGAGGGGGGAACTCAACTCAGGACAACTCAACTCAGGACACCTTCTTGGCGTATGTGATGAAACAGAATTTCACTATGAGCTGGACAAAGGCATAGACAGAAGTTTATTTAGGAAGGTAGATGCACATTCAAGGAAGAATGCAGGCTGTCTTGAGAGTGAGAAGCAGCCCTGACTTGGGCTGGGGGTCTCATATTTATAGAAAGGCTGCATCAGGGGCCCTACTGGAAGTGGATCCAGGGTGGAGCAGTGCAATTTCAAGCCAGTTTCCCCTGAACTTGTGTATTTCCCTCATTGTACAAGGCCTTGGGCCAAGGGCATGGGCCAAGGGCATGGGTCAAGGGCTCATTGCTCAAGATTTGTAACTGTGCTTTCCATATCTCAATGCTTGTGGGTGTTTCCTGCGAGATTCAGTATTTTTCTCTCTTTATTCTAAATCCCTGAGTCTGAAACTCATAGAATCAAGCCATCTTCTCACATCAGACTCATGAGTTGCTGAGACTACAGACAAGTCTGTGCACAGTTGCATTTTAACATCATTCATTCCCTGCACCTTCGGAAAGATGACACCCTGAAACAAGCCAAATGTAATGGAGGAAAAATTGCCTGCAATTTTTTGAACGTTTAATAATTAAAAAGGGTTTGGTATCAGCAAAAGCAGATTGGAAAAAAATTGGAAAGACTTTGAAATAGGCAGAAACATAAGTGGTTGTACTGTGTTATGTGTTCTTTTTATGGACTCTCAACTGTGCAAAATTTCAGAATTGCAAAACCTTTGGGCAAATATA